GCTAACATTACAAACTCTGTTACTTAATGAATTTCCTGATTACAGCATAAAGGAAATACAGTGTACATGATGAAGCACAGCATATAAAAGTTGGTAAAGGTAAATACATGTATAAGTCTGCATTGGAGCCTAGTGGCCCATCAGGCCAGAGTTTATCCATGGTTTCCTAAGTGTATGCAGCACTTGACAAGGGGTAAGACTACATGTACTTCCCCCTCCCATAATCCCCAGATAGGATGCTAGTCCTAAATACACCTGTACAGGGCTGTAAATAATTTTTTTCTCTTGAAAAGACATATGTCCTACTAAGACACCATCTTGGTCAGACAAAACAAATTGTGGTTGAACATCAGATTCACTCAAGGTAGATTTTTATTCATCCTTACTGCAAAATGATTTACAACAAAAACAGTTGGGATTTCGTTGGACAAGAGCAAATTTTGGTCGGCCAATGTCCGATGACCGACTGTTATATGCAGTCCTGCCTGTGTGAAGAGCAACACAGTGAGAGTAAAGTGTCTTGCAACATCACAACACTCCAACCATGGCTCAAGCCTGGAATGCCCAATGCAGAGTCTGGAGTGCACTTACATGTACATGTAACCATTAAGGTGGCCTGCCTCTCAGCTCCCAACTTCTCTGATTTATTTTGGGTTATTTATTAATAAATTTATGACTTCATGTGAGGGAAGAATTACAAAATAACGGGGATTCCTTGTATTCTATTGATACTTAAGTGTGACTCCAACTTGGTCTCCCAAGAGAATTTAGGGTAGAATTTATAGAGTTAAGGGGAAATCTTTGTTGAAATTTTAATCATTTTGACTTCTGTGATTTCAGCACTGTGTATAAATTTGGAACTATCTAGGAAAATTCTGTACCAGCAAATTATAACAACAAATAAATCTTCCAGTTGGTAATTAAAAAAGCTTACATGTAAGAAATAAGTCCCTGAGCTACAATGCCATGTTATTGCAGTAGTTTTAATCGCTTAGAAACGTACTACAGAAACACATGATCTAGATCTGCTATACAAACCTATATCTGATGGTACAGGTTGGTAAGGCTTCTGCGACAATGCTGGTTTATAGGGCATCCAATACTTGAAGATTGCTATGCCATCAATAACCCTAATCACACAATCATAATGACAATACATGTAATAAACTTACATTAATAGTGTTAAAGAGGCTGTAATCCTGCTAAAATTGGCTAGACTTAGATACAATTCCCTTATTAACTATTACACATAGAAATCAAGAGTGAATAATCTAATTGTTTAATGTATAAATCTACTAGTCAATCAACAAAATGTATCTAAATCCTCTTCACAGACACTTTGAAATAGTAAAGAAGCGGCCACCATTTTGTTAACAACCGCACACTGCCAGGCTACACATTAGATACAACAGAATAGACAATGAGCAGCATCGCCAAAAAGAGAATGGCATTCGTGATAGAATGCTAGTAGATTTATACTTAAAACTTATATGTACCAGCTCTTCAGCTGCTGATTAAGGCAACAGTGTTTACAAGAGATACGTGTCCTTGTTTAATCAATACAGCAGTAACAGTAAAATATTAGCCAGTGGATTAACAAAGAATTTGAAAGTTAAATGTGCTAGCCCAATGGAAAATAATTCAGGCTAAAAGATGACATAGGATAAACATGGCTATTAATTCAGGTTAGGAGATTTTTATTCTTACATCCCTTTCATAGATGGGAAGACTTGTACCATACTGTTTCTAACAAACTGACTTTAAAAATAGAGCAATACTTGTGATGTACATATAATAAAATGAAAATGAAAATGAAAACATTACATGAAAAAAAAAATGGAAAATGCTTTACCCACCTGAAACTGAGATCTTGAGTCACATAGACAACATCCCTAAACATGATCTTTCCAGATAATATGGAGAAGGAAAAGGAGCCTGTTGAATCACAAAATAAATTTTAATGGTAGTTTTTACATTGTTACGTTAAATTAAAACTCTTGCCAAGCATCTAACTAGTATTGGGGTCCTATTATGTTGGTCATCACGTGAATTCTGGAAACCCTGAAAAAAACTTTTCTCTCATCAAAACTTGGTGCAGATTGTTTTTTGGTGCAGATAGACTTTTGATGGGAGCTCAGCACCAATTTTAAAAACTTGAAGGGAATCAGTATCAGAAATCGTTTTCTAATTAACATTTACCGAAACAAAATGAAAACAAAATTGAAAACAAATCAGTCTGGTGCAGGGAAGGGGTTTGTCTGTAAGGTGAGTCCAGCTGCACACATACACTTTTTTGCCTTGGAGCCTACAGCTTGAAAGCCATGGTAAGTTAATAGTATAAACTAACATGGTAAGACAACTCGCTCTTAGTTTCTTCGACTCTTTGATAGATTTGATAGTCAACAGAAACCTCAAGCTCACAGTCTCGTTAAGTGGAGTGGAGGTGGTATGGCTAAGTCATTTAGGGCACTGGATTTGAAATCTGGAGGTCCCTGGTTCAAATTCTTGACACCCCACCACTATCTGGATTTGTTCTCGGTAGTCCCGAGTTCAACTTCTCAACAGCATTGTGTAAATAGCCAACTGGTCAGCCTCCCACCAATTGGGATTCTTAATCATTTATGTTCTATTTGAAATATCTTTTTTTTATTTGTTTACAGTGTCCCCAATTAGCACAACAGTGCTAAATACATTTGACACTTAAATAAAATTATTCATATTTTATTTATTTATTTTTAAACTTACCAATCTTGAAGTATTGTCCATTTTCAATGTACTTGAAATTGATCAGTCGTGTAAGAATGTAGCCCAATACACGGGAATGATAGAAAGTGATGTAGATAACCCACAGGCTGGCACACAAACAAGACAGGACAACAAACACTAATCCACCCTGGTCATTGCCAGCAGATGGAGATACTGTGGTTGATGGCAAGGTGCTGCTGATGTTGCTGTTGTTATCCATATTCAGCCAAAAATTGCTAGTTTTATTCTGTGTAATGGCTACAGGTTGTCTAGTGAGTTAAGTATCACCTTTAGAAATAACAACTGGCAGTGCAGTTTAAGAAGTTTGCACTTTCCGCTGCCGAAAATATCATCTTCCTGGTTTGCCTTCGTGCAATCAGCTGGCGGGATTACGATCTACCGA